CAATATCGCATTTGTGTAGCTGAATTTTAATATAGCTTTTCTTCCTTTATACTTTTTTAAATTAGTTTGTCACTAGATGGAATATGAAAGAAAAATGCTTTAAATGATATCGACAAACCCAAACTGAAAATGTGAGGTGTTGATTAAATAAAACACAGTCAAGATCAGAAAAGTGTCTTTCTGTAAAGATCAAAGCAGATCAATTAATAATGGTTATTAGTTTCGTCTGGAATCAAGTGTGAATTCTTCATGAAACAGAGATGATATTAAAAAAAGAAAAATGAAAACGGAAAAAAGAAAGAGAGAAAACAGAAAAAAGAACAAACAGGTGTTTGAAAAGTGGCTACAAGTAGGATCAGATGAACAACTCAAATGTACACTTACTTTAAGAAGGGATAATGGGCCAAGTTGATTATTTATTGTTAACTTTCAATAAAATGACTACTACTTTCATTAAAATAAGTGAAAATAACATACAATTAATCTGGAATCTGAGATATATATATGAGAAAATTATATATAAATTTTTACATACCAAAACAATATTAGGAAAGATAATGACAAATTAGAAAAAAATTTTTGTATGATGCGTTTCATACTTGAGGATACCTTTAGACTAAAGTGATGTTTCTGGTGATGTAACTACACATGTACATGAAGAAAGGGTGCTGAAATTTTACACATTTTTATTTTTATATGTCTTTGCTTATAAAGTCTTGCCATTTTCATTTACTTTCTTTTCCTTTTTACTTATATATTTTTCAGTTTTGTTATTAAGTATCCCATATTGTGATAAGAGAGGATCTGCCAAGAATGGTGGAATGTTGTAAGAAACTGGGAACAAATTTACTGTGGATGATTTAAGGATTAAATCTCTTTTTATACATTTTCAACTTTAATTTTAAAAGTTGAAAATTTCAGCATCTACTCTCCTTCATGCACATGTGTAGTTACATTAACATAAACCATTTTACTCTGATGATGATGTCCAAAAAGATGAAATGTGTCATACAAATTTTTTTCCCCTATATTTGTCATTAATTTTCCTTTTATATATATATATATATATATATATATATATATATATATATATTACTATAAACTAGATATGACCAAAGAAAAGCAATACCTAAGGTATAAAATGAATTTTTAAAAATGAAAAATATTTAACAATTATTTTACTTGTAATAGATTAAATTTAATATTTTCAATCAGCAAAAGACTTTAAATGAATTTAAATTGACTGGAATGAGTTTTTTTAAAAAAAAAAAAAAAAACTAACAAAAAAAAAACTGATTTTAGCCATATTTACAGTTTTCTCAGCACAATGTAATTCTCTTTAAAAAAAATATTTCTAAAAATAAAACTTTGAGGAAGATTAGCTGATACAACGTTTAATCATTTGATTTGAAACAAATGTTTCTTACTTTTAGTTTAAAATATTACAGAAAAGCATTTTTAACATGAGGTGGGTGTTTTTATGAGGTTTTCAGGCTGATTGACAGGCTGATGTTTGGGAAAATTAACAAATTTTTCTATGGGGATATATCCATAAAAATTACTTGATGAATATAACTGGAGTACCTTTTTTGTATATTTATTTAACTACTCAGTAATCTTAAAAAATTACAAAAATATTCTAAGTCATCTAATGTTTTATTGAATTATTCGCTTTAAATTCCCTATATTTACTTTTCTTATTTTCTGATAATGTTGTGTATGGACATCCATATTTACAAAAATCAGAATGTTTATTCACACACAAAAAAATACAAAATTCTTTTTAAAATACTTGTGTTGGGTTTTTTTTGGGGGGGGGGTGCTGAATTGTAATAAGATTTTTTCATTTATGATCAGTATAGTTTTTACTTAATAACACTTATCTAACTGCTACAAATTAATACAGAATTTTAAAAGATTTAAAATTTTATAAATTAATCTAATTAAAATTTTAAAAAACGAAAATTTTTAAAAATTCATTATACACTGAAATTTTTTTTTTCTCAAGATAATAGTGTCCGTAATATTTTTTTTATTCTTAAAAGCAATCAAATAGATATTTAATTAAATAATGTTACAGTTTTATTGATTTTTTTTATTTTATGACTCAGAGCAGATTTTTGGGATCTGGGGGTAACAGATGTTAAAAAAAAAAAAAAAAAAAAAAAAATTTTTTTACCAAAATTTTCTAAAGAAACAATTGTAAAATAACTTCATTCATTTGTAAGTGAATCTTGAAAGTTTCATTAAAATCTAACAATTTTGATTTTTGCAAGAATTTCCACCACAAAAATTTCTGACAGTAATTTATGCTCATCCAATGACACAAGAAGAACATTTAACCAAAATTTTGCAGGTTCTAAAAAGTATTAAAATTTAATAATCATAAAATCCTTTGGTCTTCCCACTTAATAAAGAATTTGATGATAAAACTGTTTTTTTTTATTAATATTGGAGCATTTTTTCAGCATGTATCTGAAATTCTTAGATTACTTAGAATATTTTCCAAAATTTCCAAGATGACTAAATAATTAAAAAATTATATAAAAAACAATTATATTTAAGTAATTTTTACAGATACATCTCCTATAGAAAAATTTGCAATATTTATCAACACCTTATAAAAACACTTCCATCCATGTTTAAAAAAAAAACACTTTTCTGCAATATTTTAAACAAAAAGTATGTAATATTTGTTTCAAATCAGATTAAACTTTAAATCAACTAATCTTAAAATAAAGTTTCAGAAAAGTATATTTTATTTTTTAAGGATTTTTTCAAAAGAGAATTATGTTGTGATGAAAGAACTTTAACACTAGGATGGCCAGCTCTTTCGAGATCTTTATTGACATTACGCCGTGAAGCAGCCATCTTTAATATATTCAATATTCAAGTCAGGAATAACAAGTCTGAAAAGAAATTCACAAATATTAGTATACCTCATACTGAAAGAAAGTGATTTTTATATATATATATATATATATATATATATATATATATATATATATATATATATATATATATATTGTGTGTCTGTATAGATAAATAGATAGATAGATAGATGGGGACATAAACACAAGTATTATTGCTTGTGAGAAATTTTTCAATGCATTTACCCTATAAATAGCCTAGGTGTCAAAAACGACACCTTGGCCATTCAAGGTAAAACCTCAAATATCAGCTATTCCATTGAATATTTTTTAAAGAATTAAGTCTATTAAGCATCTTTGCTAAAATTCAATAATTGTCCATAAGCCTCAGCATCGAACCAAAACTAGTTATTCCATAGTAATTTGTTGAAAATTTGAAGGTGTCGAAAACAACACCTCGGCCATCCTAGTGTTAAATATAGTGAAAAGCAGACAATTTTAGCAATTTCAAAAAAACATTCATTACAATCAATTTAAGTTTATTTTGAAATGCAGCAAAGTATTGTCTACAGCATCAGGCCAGATAAATAAAGTAGTTTCCAGAACCTCAAATCACTTTAATGTGCTTGACCAATGCACAGATATATTTAAAAATTAAATAATTAGATTATCTCATTAATTCTCACTGGAGAGTAGTTCTGAGGTATAAAGAGTAAATTTAAAAAAATAAAATAAAAATAAACCAGAATCAATTTGTTGCTTTAAGCAGGAATTGAACCAACATTTGTTTTTCTCCAAATGCCAAAAGAGAACAAATGAACAATCATCAATAAATCTTATGCCACTGTTGAATATGGTATTATGTCAGATCTGACAATTCATTTTTATTTTTGTGTAGAATGTCTAGTCTTGTTAAAGATGTCACTGACTCACTAACTTGGCATTTAATACAATGTGTAGGTGTTTGGCTTATTTCTAGCTTCTGTCACAAAGAAATAGAGGAAAAAGAATAACTTACTTATAAGATTTATCTATGCCAAAATATGAAAAAAAAAACAAACCAGGAAATTAGAATTGACTCATATGAAATATTTCTATTGCAAGGAAGATTTACAGAACTATAAGAAGAGGGATTTAATCATTAATTTTAAGGACTTTAAGTATGGATTTTGTATTTTTTTTTTATTAATAAATTTCACCCAATACAAGTTTTGAGAGGCACTCAATGTAGGGGACTACAGTCAAAAGAGTAATGATGAAGGAGTTGTTATATGAATGGAAAGGAGAGTGGTAAGAAGTGAGGATAAGGAGGAAAGGTGATGATTAACACATGATTTGAAGATTGATTTGTTTTTTATGAATTACCTACCTTTTGTAGGTTATTCATAGCTAGAAAATATTCTTTTTTTAGATTCTAAGAATTTTTTTGAGAAATAATTATTTACTGATAGTAGTCCTACTAATTAACCCATAGTTTTTTGGGGGGAGAAGCAGTATATTCGTACCTTTACCAAGGGTATTTGTGTGCAAGTGAATATAATAAACGCGAATAAAATTGGAACTCTGCTCTCCAGTTCAAAGCCATTATCCACTTCACCACCCGCACATCCAAACTGGTATTCCCAAGCAGTCATCCATCTAGGCTTAACACTTCTTAACTCTGGTGGTCATGGGTGTTGATTCCATATTTTTTTTTATTAATAAATTTCACCAAATACAAGACTTGAAAGACACACAAGACAGAGGATTACAGTCAAAAGATGACGGAGTTGTTATATGAATGGAAGAGGAGGAGTTAGGAAGTGATAAGGAGGAAAGATGATAAACTCTTGATTTGATGATTGATTTGGTTTTCTTTTTATGGTTTCTCAATCTTTTGCAGGTTATTTAAAGCCAGAAAACTTTTTTTTTTTTTTTTAGATAGTAAGGATTTTTTTTCTGAAAATAATATTTTACTGATAAGTTCTACAAATTAACCCACAGATGGAGGGAGGGTAAAAAAGGTAGATTCATACCATTCCCAAGAGTATTTATGTGAAAGTAAATATAACAAACCCAACTAGAATTGGACGTTGGCTCTCCAATTTCCAATTCCAAGCAGTTATCCATTACACCACCCGTATATCCAAGCTTACAGCACCTGGTATTCCCAACTGGTCACACATCTAGATGCTGACGAAGCTTAACAATGCTTAACTTCAGTGATCATACGAGAATTGGTGTTTCATTCTGATATGGCCAGAAGTCTACTCCATTAACAAAAACACATTTCAGATTATCTTATTATAATTGTACTTTTTCTTCCATTTGCTGGTTTGCATGACCGTTATGCCTTGCCAATACCTAGTAAATAATGGCCTATTCCGTTCTGATCATATGGAAAGAGGGGAAGACACGACTTTGTTTCAGTGAAAAAATTAAAGAAAGGGAAGTGTTTAACGTCTCTTGCCAATACCGCATGTATAATGGACTCTTCCATTTTGATTGTGTGGAAAGAGGGGAAACAAAGAAAGGCAGATAGAAGTGTTTAACGGCTGTTACAGTGAAATAGAAAAATCCCAAATCTTTTTATTTGTACCCACTTCTTAAAATAATGACCAGCATTCATATTTATGATTGTCATTGCAATATTTTGTTGAAGATTTTAAGCTCAAATATTTAATGATGTGATAAGGGAATTTCTACAGATATTTTATTGTCATAGAACTCACCATGAGTTTACTAAATCATTAACTTAATTAAAATTAATCAGAATATTGAAATAGGAAAACCATGAAATTTTCACAGGTTAAAACTAATTGATTTTTAACAGGATAAAATAATGAAGACAAACATAAATAATACAGCTTTTAGCAAATATATACAAAAAATACATACAAATTTAGCTATGGAATGCTAATGGTAATATAAGCTTTTTCCTCATAAGGAAACAATTGGCATTCTTTGAACAGCCAGTGCTACTCAAGTTATACTTTTCTTAATTCCTTGGACATTGAGCTGGGATCAAAGTGTAGTATCTGTTCTCATCTCGAATCATAATAGTAACATTAGCAGTTTTGTTATATATAAACACTTGGCATTCATTGACCGAGCAGCCAGTGCTATTATTGAAATTTATAAATTTTTCTATCAAAACAATTTTGGAAAATATTGTTACTCTTTCCAGTTCTGATGGGAGATCCTTCTTAACCTTTTTCCTTGAAGTTAAATATCAACACTTGAATTACGTCATTATTTTCTCTTCAAGTTACAGGTGCTATCCATTTAGTTGTTGCTGCTGTTCAAAGTCTGCAAGTGATGTGTTTTCTGTTATTTGGTAGCGCTAGTCCACAAGGTTCAAAAAGACTATTTGCTTGAAGCCATTTTTAGCTATTGCTCTAAGATAGTGGTTGTATATAGCTAACAGTTTAGATATTTCTGAACGAGTTTGGTGCCATCTATGACATCCGTATGAAAGTCTTGATCTGATGAGGCTATTTCAGAACATGACTTGAGCTTTTAGGTTAATGTTTTGGTTTTGTAGCAATGTGTGGTGCTGGGCAAAACTACCTCAAGCAGAGTATATTTTGATCTTCAAGACAGTTCCATAATAGTAGTAGTTTTGCAGGCCTTCAATTTGAGATCAATTCTGTTGTGTCTTCTGGACAAACTGGAGGCAAAAGTTGATTTGACTTGTTCCTGAAGATTCCAGCACTAAATCTCTACCTCCCCATTGTATTAAAGGACAACGTTATATTTCAACCTGAAACATTTCTGGCACTTGTTGCAAGAGACTGGATAATCTTTGCAGCTACCAACATGTACATTAAATCAACCATGGAAAGCAACTCAATCCTTTTCAATACTGGCTTGATGAATTTTGTTATCTCAACAGAAAATCTTAGCACTTTAAAACCTGAAATGATCAATTACGACCACAGGTCTCTCACTCTTAGGAGGCATGGTGGAGTAATAGATAGCCAAGTTTGAATTCTAATCGAATCTATTACATTCACTTACATGCTAATACCTTTGGGAAAGGTATGAATCCTCTTCTCCCATCAGCTATGGGTAAATAGCAAGACAGACTGGGTTCTATAGCCTTGAAAGGCAACTGGTCTACCACAGAAAGAAAAGGCAACCTACTGCAGGAAAAAATCTGCCTCGTCAGTCATGTATTGAAAGATACATGATCACCTAAGAGTGTATCACGCATGGCACATAACTGACTCTCACTCTTAGATTACAGGAGTCCTATAGAAGACTGTACTGTATTTCAATACACAACATTAACACTTTTCACATTATCAACTAAAGGAACCAGAAATCTACAACTCTGTAAAAGTTGTACATTTAAAAAATTATATTTCATAACCAGTAATACCAAGGAGGCTAAATTTTAAATCATTTCAAAGAGAAATCATTTTACTTTCATATAAAATCAACTTGATTGTCAATGGCTTTTGAGATATATCAATTTAATTGACTGACATCATATATTCTGATTTTTCAAGAGTTCAGTCAGGACTCCAAGGATTTAACAATTCAAATCTCTTCAGAGTTGATAGGATTAAAGATGATAATCTTTTGTCAGATCCTATTGATTTTCAATAAAAAAACAAAAAAATCACAGAGCTTTATCAAATAAAAACTACATCACTTGAACACTTTCAAAGGCAATAACTAAAATTAGTAGCATATGTAACTAAAAAGAGAAATCCATTATATAATCAGAGTTGTTAACCTTCCACACTACCAAAAACAAAAAGATTGGAAGGAAACTCCCATCAATATTAGAAAGAGCTATAACAATTAATGGACATGAAAAGTTTAATTTCCTGAAAAAATAAAGATTTTATAAATTCCAACTGATAGTAACACTATCTGTTTAGTCAATGAATGCCAAATATTTTTTTTGTATAGAAACTTAATTTTACCATTACCACTGTGTTGGATATGCACTGATTGATCTCATGACTAATGGCCAACTATACTAACCTTACTTGTACTATATCCTAGAATTGTTTACAGATGAGCCACACTCCAGAATTTTCCATAAAAACTACAACAGATGCAGGTAGTACGATAAAACCACTGAATGTTTTCAGGTGCCAAAACATTATTTTTACATATTGTCAGCATCACTGACAATGCATTTTTGACACATCCTTCATTTTGTATGTTGATAACTGTACAGAACTATCAAGAAGATATCATTTTTCTCTGATACCATTGCTGAAATGCAGTGGTATCAGCATAGTTGATCCACAGATCAACTATGCTAACATCCATTGTTTGGTCTCCACAAATATTCAGCAAGTATCAATGAATATCAATAAGGAAGCACTTTCATGCTATATGCCATTTTGTCAGACTGCTGCTCAGTGCTACCTGAAAGAAGGCAAAAATAAAAAAAATGATAGGTTATTATTGGGAAGGTTCAAGCTCTACTGCCATACCACCAACATCTGTTTCTGACATTGTAATACAGTAAAATAGGAGGGATTACTTTCATTTATACATACTATTATAAAAAAGGGAGGGGGTATTGTTAGGATGGCCCAACCTCTATTGCTATACCACAAGTATATATAAGCCTCTGATATTGTAGAGTAGCTAGCACCCCTTCAGCACTCTACCAAATGGCCTGGCTCATAGCCTTAAATAGTCTACAATTAAGGACTCCAACAGTTGATTAATAAGTTGATATTAAGCTGATTAATATTTGGACTGATCTATACAGCATTTGACCCTCCTCTATTCCTTTTAAGTTGTCTTGTTAATTGTTGTGTAACTTATTGTTGTGTTTTTTGTATGTATCCATTAACACCGGATACTGGTGCTAAATAAATATATTAAGCACTCATTCTTCTGTGTGTATCATTTACCTTGATGATACAACATATATTAAGGGCCAACATATTAAAATCAGAGCCATTATTTTCAGAGCAACCCTTCTACTTTCATAAAAACAAGTAAGGGTAATACTTAAAATAATATTTCAAATAAAGCCTGTTACATATGAAACAATTTTTGGTATTGTTTGGTTTTTATGGGACAATCAAAATATATTTGTGCACAAAGATATTGGTGTGCAGTGAGATATGCACAGATGGGAAGTCTATTGAAGAGTCAATCATTTACTGCTGAGAAGATATGAACAGATATCAGTTGTCTATTTAGAATATTAACTTCTGCAAAGAAAGAAAATGCAGAGAAATGAAAGCAAAGTTCTACTTGAGAGAAAGAATATCGCACATCATATATAGTTAGGAAAGAAAATGTGTGTACATATGTGTGTATGTATGTATAATGTGTAACCAAACAACAATTATGGGCTGGCCCAAAACAACAATTATGCACAAAATTACTCTCCATACTTATTTTGTATGTGTGAGAGAGAGTGTGTGTGTGTATATATATATATGTAAAGAAAAATATACAGAAAAACAAACAAAAATCTTAATATGCAATTATGCTGTATTTGCATATTAAGATTTTTGTTTGTTTTTTCTGTATATTTTTCTTCATACTGTCAGATCTATATCCATATATTTGCTTATATATATATATATATATATATATATATATATATATATATGTGTATGTGTGTGTGTGTTGTAGCATACCTGCAGATGATAATGGGTATGTCCCCATTCACATAAATACAGTAGTAAATTTGTATGTTGGTCTTCAGTTGGAGATTCATTATGAAATTCATGTGACACACTTCCAGCAGTTGACAACTACTTCTACACACCACTGGCAAATGTTATATGTTGTCCTAGTCCTAAGTATTATTGTTCATTGCTAACCTTTGTGCGATTATTCTGTTCAGTAACCTTCCCTAGGTAACAACTTATATATATATATATATAAATAAAAAGTGCATCTGACAGTGATTGTCAATCATTTTGTCAGTCCTTTAACGCCTGTAGGTCCTCTCTTCAATGTAGATCACGCCAATTAAAGAATCAATGGTGGCATGATATTTCCAAACAAATTCAGGATGCTTACAATCGTAAAGATTTCAAGGTAATGTATGGCCTTGTAAGAAAGGCCTTTCAGCCTCAGTCAACATCTGTAACACATCTGAAAACTAAGGACCAATCTTCTTAAGGATTCCAAAAACATTACAATGTTGGACTGAACATTTCTCAGGTATGTTTGATAATCCTTCCGTTGTTGATTTGAACATAATCAACAATCTGCCTCAGTTAGATGTGCATGAAATGGCAATTCTACCAACATATGAGGAGACTA